GCTCAGGGGTGATTTCTTTCGTCTTTTATCTATAAATGCCATGCGTGAGAGAACTTTTTTAACTTACGTTCAGTTTTTAGGTTACATACATCCATGTCTTTTAAACCTAAAAAATAGGACTCTCTCTTAAAAACACTGTAGTTTAATAACAACAAATTAATACTGCTTTAGAGAAGCTATAATATTACTACCCATCCAAAATGATAACAAACTCAACTAACAGGCTGACACAGTGGAACAGGGGTACAAGTGCACTTGTACCTCTTCTCTTCCAAGCCCTACTCGTAGTTTGCTTGGAGGTTAAGTAACTTGCCGCTAGAATGCAGCACCTGACTTATCGCTTTAATTTCTTTACCTTCAGATAGAATAAAAGATTTCCAGTTCGGCGATGCAGTTATCTTAATATTTACAAAAATGTCACTTATACCCCGTTACTTCCAGGGTCCTTAACTACTTTTTCAAAAACTGAACAAAGTAAAAACGACTAGAGACTTGAAAAACGTCAACTTTTTTGACAAATAACAATTAGTTAGAATCTTTATTAATTAAATGCGAAACTATAATTTTAGTATTTATTCTTTGAAATCAGCTTAAATTCAAACAAAATTAGTATGATTGAATAGGTATGTTCAACACTTTTCAAACGAGATATCACTTGCCATAAGGTCGCATTTAGAATTATCAGTCACAGTGGCTCTGTACCTTATCCATGACTATTACGTCACCTGTCATGACTATTTGTATGCGTCCTTTATTGTCTCCCCCCCCCCTCTTACTATTATAAGTATAACCGTTTAAAGATACGAGGGAAGGGAGGGACTTTTGGCTAGCACTGTATATATAGTAACTCTTCGAGATATCTTTGATATTTAGTTATTTATAATATTACGAAGGATATTATCTCAGGCTTCTTGAATTATGTGATAGAAGTCAACTATGTTATTTGGCGATTGTGATAAACTACTCTTACGAAGTGCCTATCATATGTTCGAATGTTTAAATGGCAGATAGCGTGAAAGCAATGGAAACAGTCAGGTTATTTTTTAAGGTCCTTGTATTTATATCCCGTAGGTGATTTTCCCTATATTATTCGTAATTAGTATGTAATGTTTAAGTGTAGGAAAACGTTATTTTTGATGTTTGTTCTCATTCTGAGGCTTTCATTATCAAATGTGTTACAGCTTGTCTTTGACCACAAAAGTCAAAGCAAATATAGATTAAGATATAAAATGGGCACTGAAAATTCTCGGCTAGGTGTATAAAAAATAAACTTAGTAAAATCTAACATATTTGTATTCTTCTTTAAGATTGATTTAACATTTGTTGCTTAAAATATTCTATTACAGCTATTATTTTCCAACATATCGCTTCTCTTGAAGCATATAGTTCTGTCGTGATTGGTCAGTGAATAAGTTTCACTAATCTTATCAAAACCACGCCTATATTATATTTATTCGGATTAAGCCACACAAGACTGTAATGAAAATTATAATTTATTATTTTTTATTGACGTTTCGATTTCTACTATTAAAATCGTTTTCAAAAAAATATTCTTTTAAAAAAGTGAGTTACTGTTATTCAATATTTGGTTGTTGTTTTCCAAAATAGTCGGGTGACTTAATTCAGATGCATCAATGGTCACGTAAGAAACAGACATAAAAAGAGAAAAAACAAAGAAGCAGCTCTCATCTTACTTAATGAAGAATGTAGCACGTTGGTCTGGTTGAAAATACTGAAAGAAAATACATAAAAGAGGAGGGTTGAGGAGCCAGGTTAGCATCCTACCCATTGTAAAAGAAAACAAGGCTCAAAGAACCGATATAAAGCCTGCGAACCAGACAGAACCTAAGATTACGAACCACGCAAAGAAAAGGAAAACGAGAAGGAAAAATAAGCTCACAATCAGATTAGCAACACATAACATTACTTCTTTAAATAATAAAGACCAAGAGATAATAAAAGAACTGATAAATAAAAACATGGACATTTGTACATTCCAAGAAACCAAGAAGAAAGGTAAAAGCCAAAGAGGCTATAAACCATATTTTCCAGCACACATTGGTCATTGGAGTGAAGAAAGAAGAACCAGCACGAGTAGGTGTAGGTATACTTGTCCATAAAAAATATAAAGACAACATAAATAACTGCCGTTATATCTCCGAAAGAATAATACAGAAAACATCACAATGGGCTACCAACAATTAAATGTCATATCTATCTATGACCCCGAGGACTGCAAATCTAAGGAGAAACGAGAGACATTCTACAGTTGCAAACCATCCTGGATGAAATACCTCATGAAGAATCCTTAATTCTTGTGGGTGATTCTAATGCACGAATCCTAAATGAAATAGTTCCAGGAGCAAAACAAGATAAAAAAAAAGATTAGATGAGAACCTTGCCAACGCAAATGCAGAACTCATGGCTAATTTCTGTACTTTTGCCAGGGGGCACAAATCTATGATTGATTTTATAGTCACTCATAGAAAAATCCACCCAAAGCAGATTCTAGATATCCGAACTTTAAACTCATCAAACGCAGGGAGTGAACACAAACTAGTACTAGCAAAAATAAGAATGAAAGTAACACCAAAACATTTTCTACAGGAAACCACCAAGGAAAAATTCAATGTAGAACCACTGTGGTACGACTCTACAAGAGAAATGTACCAAAGGAGGCTAGCACAGAAGATACAGCTGGAAGAAATAGACGACAATCGAAGATATAAACGTGAGCTGAGAGAAAATTATAAACAACATTGAAGAAGCAGCAACATCATATTGAACAAATGAAAACAATATCAATAGGCCATGCTTCAGAAAAGGAATAAAAAATAGTCTTTCTATTTCTTTACATTTCTCTACAGCTTCTTTTTCTTTAGCTTCTCTTATTTTTCTTCTGATGTAAGCCTGCATTTTTTTATACTCATCTTTATTTCCTTTAATTAACCTTCTGCGTTCCATTAAATGAAGGATTTCTGGAGTCATCCAAGATTTCTTCTTTGTTTCTTTGTTTGGTTTTAGCAGATCTAGTTTATATTTCTTAATTATTTCTTCGAATTGATTGATTTCTCGTTGGATGTTATTTTCTTCTTTTAGTTGTTTAACTTGGTTGTTAATATATTCCCCCACTTGCTTTTAACTTCCGGATGTTGCAGGGCTGTCATGTCATAGTTAGGTCTAGACTTTTTCTTTATTGTCTTCAGTCTCACATCAATGACTCCCACTAAAGGTATGTGGTCAGATTCAATGTCCTCTCCTGGATATGTTTTGACAGATTTAAAACTGTTTCTGAATCTTCTATTTACCAATATATAATCTATCTGGTTTCTAATTACGTTATGGGGTTTATCTGCTGGTGCCTTCCATGTATACAATCTCCTCGGTGGTAGTTTATAAAATGTGTTCAGAACCACTAGCTTGTTATCTTCTGCGAATATTTCTAGTCTGGCAACAGTTTACAAAATATGGAAAAGCGGATGGAAAGCGACTTCTACGATACACAAAAATAGATATGGAGATTCATAAAAACCCAACGGTAAGAAATGGCAGAATTGAAGAAATACAATAACATACCAGCAAACCAATGGGAAAGATACCTGACGAAACTGTTTAAGGAAAGGAAAATAATAATCAACACAATAACGTACCTGAATTAAGACACGAAATAGAAATCAGTTTTCAGGAAGTAGAGAGAGCCACAAATTCACTCAAAAATAGAAAGTCACCAGGACCAGACGGAATAACGAACGAGTTTCTAAAACACAGAGGAGAAAATATAACCCTAGAGATGACAAAACTTATACAAAGACTAATATTGCACTGCAAGGTACCAGACGCATGGAGAAACAGCATAATGATACCAATGTTCAAGAAAGGAGATAAAGAGGACCCCAACAATTACAGACGTATAAACACTGCACTTAAGTTTACCACAAAAGTCCTAACCAAAAAAAATCAATAAACTAACAACTTTATCAGATGAACAACAAGGATTCACATCCGGAAGATCCTGCCTGGACGCCATATTTGTATTAAATCACAGAAAAGGCCATCGAGTACAATTAACCAGCATATCTATGTTGTATAGACCCGACAAAGACCTTTGATCGCATCCAAGTCGAAGACGTCGTTGACTTACTGTATAAAAGAAACATATCAATCAATATTATACAAACCATCAAAAACATCTACTTCTATAATTGAATACAGGCAAAGATAGATGGAAAACTAACACAGTGTATACCAGTACAAAGCATAGTCAGACAGGGTGACTCGTTAAGCCCACTTCTCTTTAATATAATAATGGACGAAATAATACAAACAGTACGTAAAGGTCATGGCTACAAAAAGTCTCTATACCAGAAGGAAGAAGAAGAAGTGTTGACTTTTGTGCGTTGTCGTAAACCTCACATAGCCATATTGATCCTTTTCTGTGATTATTACGTTGCCGTTCATAGACAAATCTTCTATCACTCTTCTATTGTTGTGAGATAATCTGTTTTGACGTATGGCATGTGGAATGCATCTTTTAGATTCCCTTGCCGACTAATTCATCAATCTGTTTGCTTTGCAAGTTTTGCAAGTAACGTCTGTAAATAATTATTTCGATAATTATTGTCCTACGACGGGATAGATTTTGTTTCGATTCAGAGAAACAGCATATGTCGTACTGATGAGACCTAGAGAGGTCGAAATGCGTATAAGCGGCTTACTCTGGCTCTGCATCGAAATTAAAATCTAATACAGTCATTATGAAATATTTATGAATTCAGGTGCTCTATGTCAAAAAATTAAGGACTTAGTCATGTATTCCGTCCGGCTACCTATTACTAATTTGTTTCAAGAATCAGTATATAGAGCTTTATTCACGAGAATGTGCTAAGTTTGACAACGCTTGAACCTGTCAAGCCGAGAATTTGTGGCGCCTACTTTATAACACTAACGAATCATATTCATTTATTGACATACCCACAGTAACCATTTTTTTGTTCTTCAAGGGGTATGGTGGAGCGGCCGGCTTTTTACGGATCGCAGCCTAACATAGCTCAAAAACTAAACACATCCACCTCATCTGCTACTAACTCGCCCAAAATAACACCCAAACTAACAAAAACCCAATCTTTCAAACACCAGAAGAGCGAGGGCTTCACACCCAAACTATTTAGAAAATTGTCGTTTACGAGGAAGAGTCGGGAGAGTACCCCGAAAATGAGTAAAAAATTTTCGCTACAACCACCGGAGAGTATCGACGAGAATCGAATTTTACAAGATATCAACAGAAACGCTAGGTTAGAATCAGACTTTTTGGGGTTTCAAGTATGGGAATGTTATAACAGCTCTTCATAAAAAATATTCAATTCCCTAATTATATTATTTAATCGAAAAGATTTGGTCCATAAATTGTTTTTATGAATACACTGCTAGAAAAACCGATCACATGTTTGTTTTATACAGGGTGTCTCAAGAGTAGATTTTAGTATTTATACTTACCTTACGCCGATCCTGTCCGAATTTCCATGAAAACGATACGTCAGCCGTGTAGGCGTGAGTGATGCACCATCCACGATGTTAGTACACGCATGGTCTAGAAATTTATAAAAGGAGTTGTTACAAATGTGAAACATAGAGCAAACCAAAAACTATTCGAACTTCTGTCAACATTGCAAGAGTTCGACATGCTGTGAATAGTAATCCTCGGCTTTCACTTCGCAAACATTCACCAGCGCTAAATTTGTCTCGTGCTAATATCCAGCGTGTTTTTAAGAAGTATTTAAGTTTTCACCCTTACAAAATTCAGTTAAGCCAATATTTGAAAAAAAAACTAATCACTTACTGAGAAAAATTTTTTCTGAGGAGATGATGACTCATTTTTGGGATGATAGTGGCTTAGAAGAGATTATTTTCAGTGATGACGCTCACTTTTACCTTAATGGATATGTCTACAAGCATTGCTCGCTACTTGTTCTGCGTTGTTCTGAAAATCCACATGAATTACATCAGAAACAGTTGCGTTCAAGACAGGTGACGGTTTGGTATGGTATGTATGCATCCCTACATTTTTGAAGATCCTAGGGGTCGCACGCTAACTGTCAACAGTGCACAATACACTGCCATGTTACGGAATTGACTACGTCCAGAATTGAATCATTTTCCAGGGTATAATCCAGGCAAAAATTGGTTCCAGCAAAACGGATCTACGCCACACACAGCGAACACCCTAACAGAAATGTTTCCAGGCACACTGATTTTACAAAATGGTGATTGTCGTTTTCCTCCAAAATCTCCTGACCTTACCCCTTTAGATTTTTTTCTGTAGAGGTGTTTAAAGAACATCGTCTACGCTAACTCACCAGCCACCATCGAAGAGTTGAAGTAAAATATTCGCAACGCTATTAACAAATAAACAACATTCCAGTGTGTGAGCGCGTCTTGCTCAATTTGCGATCCAGATTGCAAGACTGCTACGAGCGAGATGGTCAACATCTAACCGACGTGTTATTTAAGAAACAAAATCCGCATATTCTGTGTGTCTATTTTGGTAATAAATGTTTTTCTAGCCGGTTCTGAAACAGAGTTTTATTGTTTTAAAATCTAAAATCTACTCTGAGACACCCTGTAATTATTTACATGTGGGAAGATAAAAAGCCGAAACCATCAAAATTTGAGTGTAATATTAAAATTCAAGCTTTTTTATTTTACATTCTAAGAGTCTTGTTATCTTGCATAATTAACTACCTCTTTGGACTCCAATTCCATCACCAAAGCGTCGTGTTAGACATCGATGAGATTAGCTATTAGATTCGGTTCAGATTTGTTCATTCTTCCAGAGAACTTCTCCAAATTGTAACACTAACCCATAATGGATAATAATCCCATTTCTTGGATATCGAATGGATATCGAATTTTTAAGTGCTTTTTTGCTTTGTTTCCTGGAGTAGGTAAATACTGGTAGGGTTCTTAAGTACGTTTTAAGATCTTTTTCTTCAGCCTTAAGTAATCCAACTTTGGACATAGGCCTCCACCAAATCAATCCAGTGTTTTCTATTTTGCGCCACTTGCTTCAAGTTGTGTCCTCCGATCTTCTTACCGTCATCAGCCCATCTCATTTATGGTCTTCCTCTGCTTCTCTTTCCTAACCATGGTCTCCATTGTTGTATTTCGTGGTTCCATCTTGTATCCTTCAGTTGGGCATTGTGTCATGCGAAGCTCTATTTTAGTTTGGCAGCATGTTCCCCTCCGCCTTTTACTTTGGTTTTGCTTCTAATCCATTCGTTTTGTCTATAAGTCTCACCCCAAGCATTGATCTTTCCATCTCTTTTTGTGCCTTTATGATTTTATCCATATTAGACTTGGTGAGTGTCCACTTCTATAAACCATACGTGAGTATAGGAAGAATGCGCTGTTCAAGATCTAACTCAGTTTTCCAAATCCTGCACACGCTAACCTTATTCTTCTGGTAATATCGGCAGTTTGATTTTCTTTGTTAACTTTCATTATCTGTCACAGGTAGATGTATTCGCTTACTGTTTCTAAATTTATGTTGTTTAACGTTATTTCTGTAATGTCGGTGTATTCGTCATTATTTTTGTTTTTTCCAAGTTCATCTTAAGACCTACTTTTTCCGAAGCTTGAAATAGTTGCGTCATCATGGTTTGTTGTTCTTTGAACCTTTAGTGGATATTACAATGTCATCAGCGTATTTTAAATGACTCGGTTTTCTTCCATTAACATTTATTCCATTATCTGCCCAGTTAATGTCTTTGAACACGTCTTCCAGTCCAAGTGTGAATAGCTTTGGTGAGATATCATCTCCCTGGCGAACTCCTCTGTTGATTGGTATAGCTTTGGTTTTCGCATCTATTTGTATTTTCATTGTAGCTTTCTTGTTAATGTTTTGTATGAGCATTCTATATCGGGAGTCTATCCTGCAGTTGTTCATAGTTCTCTCTATTGCCCAAAGTTCTGTGGAGTCGAATGCCTTTTCATAATCAACGAAGCCAATTTTCGTCGTTTTAAGATAATTATAGATAACCATATACAAGAAATAAATGAAAAATATTGACGATACACAGTAGTAATTGTAGAAACAGTGAAAGATAAGAAGCTGGTATTGATTAAAGCAGTGGTCAATCTTACTTTTTAAATCGTATTAACTCTATATTATTCTCATTCATCAAATTTGTAAAGCCAAAATTTTAAAACAAAATTATAGCTGTTATAACATTTTCAAAAACTCTGATTTCAAATTACAAAAGCCGGTAAAAATGTGTATTGGTTTATTTGTTTTTTAAGGTAATCTAAAATCTTAATTAGTTCTTCCTCACATCACAAACTTTTTTGTTAAGATATCCCTTCTAAAATAAAATTAAATCATTCTTTATTGAAAACTGATTTATTCTATAATACATTTAGATGTTCAAGTGCCATACAGCCAGTAACAACATGGAAGATCTTAACAATAAACAGACACAAAGCAACTTTTTTAACCTGCAAAATACTAACAATATTCACGTCAGTGGATCTGATGTTTTCACCGTTCACTGCATTTTCGAGAGAGAGCGCCACATACACGTGGCTTAGCGACTTGAGACCAACTACTATCTCCGATTAATTTTTGACTTGATACAATTTATGCAAGATTTTACCTAAGGGTCCGACATAGTGGCGTCAAGATGTTTATAAAACAACACACTTATAAGGCACTTTGACGAATATTTTTGTGTACAAGAAATACAGTCTGGCCCATAAGATTCAAACCAATATTTATGAAAACGAAAAATAAACTAAAATGAATTTACATTATTGTTTTTACAACAGACAACAAGAGCCAAAAGAAAAAGCACTTAAATAGAGGTCAACAAACCTACATATTAAAGTGACTGACCAAAAACCTACATCGGCCAAACTGGTAGAATCTTTGACAAACGTATATTGAAACACAAAAGGACTTTCTATAATATAGAAACAGATTATACGTACTGCTCCAGGTGCTCTTAGACTGCTAACACAAGAACTTGATAAAATGAAAGCCGATGTAGTAGCCATTCAAGAGATGAGATGGACTGGTTCAGGAATCATCGAGAAAAGAGACTACAATATATACTATACCGGACATAGCAGCCGACACGAGTTTGGCAGTGGTTTTTTAGTCAGTAAAAAAGCAAAGCAATTAGTCCTTAACTTTAAACCCATAAACAACAGAATATGTTATCTACGTCTTAAAGGAAAATTCTTTAATTATAGCTTACTTAGTGTACACGCACCTACGGAAGAAAAGGAGGATAATGAAAAAGATGAATTCTATGACACCTTAGACAAAGAATATGATCGATTATAGTTTATTCGTCTTCCGGGTTTGGACCGTGTCATTTGTGAGTGACCCAAAAGTGGGTTCATCTCGACGTTTCGCTACAATTGTATGTAGCTTCTTCAGGAGAACAAAAAGGAAAAAGAAAGAAAGAAGAAAACAAAAGAACAGGAAGATGGGTAGTTAGCAACGGTAACTCAGTTACTCAACGCAACCAGAGGCGAATACTAACTACCAAGATGGGCATTTGGTCACAGTAACTCAACTACTCAACGCAGCCAGAGGTGAAAACCAAATGCCAGGACAGGGATTCACGTCCAACAGCTCAGAACACTAACGCGTCGAGAGGCGGGGAGTGGATTCACTCCCCATTTGGTTTTCACCTCTGGCTGCGTTGAGTAGTTGAGTTACTGTGACCAAATGCCCATCTTGGTAGTTAGTATTCGCCTCTGGTTGCGTTGAGTAACTGAGTTACCGTTGCTAACTACCCATCTTCCTGTTCTTTTGTTTTCTTCTTTCTTTCTTTTTCCTTTTTGTTCTCCTGAAGAAGCTACATACAATTGTAGCGAAACGTCGAGATGAACCCACTTTTGGGTCACTCACAAATGACACGGTCCAAACCCGGAAGACGAATAAACTATAATTCTGACTCTGGCCGTGGAAGCCTACGATTTCAATATGATCGATGTCCACGTCATGACGTGAAAATCATTGCTGGGGACCTTAATGCAAAAATTGGCAAAGAGCAATTTTTCCAGCCAACTATAGGACGTGAGAGCTTACATGAAGAGTCAAATGATAACGGGTTGAGACTAATAAACTTTGCAAGTACTAAAAACATGATAGTAGGAGGAACAAGATTTCCCCATAAAATGATACACAAAGGAACATGGAAATCCCCTGATAACGAAACCATTAACCAGATAGATCACATCCTGATAGATGCAAGGCACTTTTCCGATCTCATAGACGTCAGAAGCTACCGAGGCCCAAACACTGACAGTGACCACTTTCTTGTAATGGCAAAAATCAGAGGAAGAACATCAAACCTAAAGAAAGATAAACACACGAAACAAGACAGAATTAATGTTGATAATCAAGACAGAATGACTGTTGATTCCAAACAGTCTTTAGAAGTCATACCTTTGGACATGTTGACAACTTCACATACCTTGGGTCGCTATTGACTGCTACCAATAAAACAAGCGCAGAAATCAAAAGACGAATAAATCTTACAAATAGGACATACTATGGACTCCAAAAGCATTTCCACTCAAGAAACATTCAAAGAAGAACTAAAATTATTATATACAAAACATTAATGAGGCCGGCCCTCACATATGGAGCAGAAACATGGACTCTAACGCAGAAAGATGAAAGACTTTTGGGAATATTTGAGCGTAAAATACTCCGCAAAAAATTTGGAGCTGTAAACGACCAAGGGCAGTGGCGCAGAAGATATAATTTTGAATTGTATCAGCTCTTTGATGAGCCAGATGTCATAACGTTCATTAAAACACAGCGACTTAGATGGGCTGGACACATAATACGAAAGAAAATACCATTGCTAAAAAGCTAACCATAGGAACACCTGTAGGAAAAAGAAGCAAAGGCCGACCGCGAATTAGGTGGTTAGATGGAGTAGAAACCGACTTACGAATATTAAAAATCATGGCAACATGTTGCCAGAAACCGAACAGAATGGCGACGAATCTTAGAGCAGGCCAAGATCCACAGAGGATTGTCGAGCCAAAGATGATGATGAGATTCTACGTACTCACTTCACTTTCTAGATCATAATCATAATTCTTTTAATAACCAATAACAAATTCTCCGTATCTAAAATAAAGGCCTTAAGCTCTCTTTTTTAGAATCCTATGTATATTAATAAATTAAAAAGTACAGATATACAAAGCGACAAATAGTTCTTCTATATACGCATACCAAAAATAGATCACTTGAGAAAGGCACTCTCAATTCTCTTGTGCCAATGAATAATATAGATATATTAAAAATAAGATGTGTTTAGGATAAACTTAAAAGGTCGCTGGTTAAATGATATTGGATAAATAATTATAAAGAAAAATGCAATATTTGTTTGTACGTAAAAGTAGCGAAAATAGCAACTATCAATTGTAAATAAATTATGAAATCAACTGGTTTTACTCATTATTGGTATTCGTACAAAGAATATAGACTTACCCTTTGGTTCTATTGATGTATTCTTAACAGGAAGGAAGAGTTGGTCGCGGTACCGACGCTAGCGTCGCCGAGGCTAAGCACGAGAATCGCCCAAACAGGTCCGTGTCGTTCGCTGTCGTGGTCTGAAGTCAAGTGCGTTGAGATGGTCAGAGCTAAGGAACCCTCTAAGTGGTGGTACGAGAAGGTGTACCAATAAATCATTCTATTGGCGATAGTTTAAAGTTAATTGCTACAGTAATACGAAACCTTACACTTGTTTCAATCTTTGTGACACAGAATACAAAGGAAAAAGTCAAATTCTGCGCACTTCCAACATGATAAATGAGATAGCCAGTTTAAGTTTTACGAAATAACAGGAAATAATATATTTTAAAAAGGTCTTTAGAGTACAGCACTAAATAAGATCACATTACAGTACCGTAACAGAAAAATATTTAAAATGTAAAAATATTAAGAGAATTCGTTCATACTTTCCCAAACAAGATATGATACATATATTTATTAAAATTGTAACAAATTTTGTTGCCATTGAACTTTTGGTTCTAATCACATATAATTATGTAATTGAATTATCAATAAATCAATAAGAACCTTTTTTATAAACTTCATAAAACCAATACATATTTTTACTTACATCGTTGTGAATACAATGTATTTAGTATCCTGTTGAACCTTTAGGGACATGAGACCAAGTAAACGGGACGTCACTTCATCGATGGTGGGCCATAGTGGTGCTACACTCGTCAACGAATATTGGGGGGTAAGTCTCGAAGTACCCCCCGGTGCCATTCCCAAAGGAGAGGAACGTCTGATCTATTTCGTTATTTCTGATCCTAGATTATGTGAAAATGCTCCGCCATTAGACCTTGACAACGGTAAATTAGCATGATTTTTGTCTTGTTTTGTATTGATGTATAAATCCTTTCATATTGTTGTTTGGAAACCAGTGTACATTGTTTGTCGATATATTTTTAATAATATTTTTGTTTTGTAGGTGAAACCATGCTGTCGCCTTTGGTAATGTGTGGACCACAAGGTAAAAATTCTACATTTTATAATAAAATAATGTTTGTTATAATAAGAAATTTTAATATGTCCTTAATTGTTATTGTTCCTTACTAACAAAAAAATTTCAGTACTTTTTTTTGTTAAACCACAAATTATGAAAGCAATATTTATTTAATAAAATTGGGGACGCGTTTTGACATCACTGTCATCATCAGCTTTATAAATCAGGAGAAACTTAATCTGAAATGCGTAAGAATAGAAAACTTTAAGAAAGAACCTGGTGGCAAAAGGTTGTTAAGGCTGTTTTATCGGTACACCAAAACCTAGATACACTGTTTTCTCTGTTATTTACCGACAAAATATCTCGAAATTTGGACACATTATTCAAAATTATGTTGCCTTTAAACTAATGGTTTTACTTTTTAAATTTTTTTGAAAGTTCTTTTGGAATATCGGATTATACAGTTTAACGCTCTATTATAACCAAACTTTTTACGCCCATCACTTGAAAGAGTTTTTTTTTTTCTGTAATCGTTGGTTTTTTTCACCTTTTTATGTCCAGTAATAATCGAGGAAAGCGTGTTCAAACTTTGAAGAAAATTGCTAAAAACTACTGAAATCTAATAGTGAAACGTGTTACTCATCATTGGCATTTAGTTTCACCGTTATCGGCTGCGTGACGTCAAATCTCATGAACGTACGGTCAGATAGTTTGATTTGAAATCAATTTCAAGCTATAACTGCGAAATTATTTATTTGTTTATGACAACAAATTGTATTTTTTTTGATAATAATATTTTTATGTTATTTTAAATTTATTATAAATAAACACCATGATGTTTTTTGCAGTCACGTTTCACAAATTTATATTCAATACTATATTTAGCTAAGACATATAAATTAAAAATGTGATAATTATTTTTAAAACATCTACGATAATCAAACAAAAAAGGTATTCCCGACAAAAGTAATTTGAATGGAGAATAATGCATTTGTTGTCATTAAACCACCCGCCGGCCGGCGCCACTGCGAAAACAGCTGTACCCGTCGTCGGCTGGCGTAAGCAGTGAGGAAAAGTAAGTGATACGCCCATTTCAAATCGCAATGTGTTTTGACTGCTAAAACAGCCTTAATGTAAAAAATTACTGCTTACGGACTCTGCTACTAATTTAAAGAAAAGTGTAAAAACGGCTGGGTTGCCAACGCCGTAGGCAATATCCCAAACCATTGAATAGTGAGTTATTAAAAATACCCAAAAGTCCCATTGTTCTACCATGGGTACCATTTTGATAAAGAGAAAAGTTGGGTCTAGAGCTAGTGACCTATCTCATCATTGTCGTACTGTCAATCGGCATCAAAACTATTCGTCAGTACAATTAGTCATTATAATCCTTAAAGGGGTATGGAATAGACCATCACAAAAGTTGTTAAAAAACAAATGTGCAGTTGAGTGGTGTTAGAAAAAGAATTTAGTTGTAAAAATGATAGTAGATAGGCAACCAACATTACTTTTGAATTTAACAAGGGACTATGAAAAAAGGGGAGGAAGCAATTATTGCAAGTCTCCCTTATGAAGCCTAATAGTGTGATGTATAGTCTATGTCATGATGATATGGGTACTTTTTTGTGGTTTTCGTTATCTCATAAATTTTGTTGGTATCTTAATCTCTTCTGAAAGTTAACAAACATATCTAATGATTGTTTGGTTCAACAATTTAGCTTATTAACTACATCAGTGGTTACATAACGTATTCTTTGCTTATATTTGATACATTTTTGCGACGAAAAAGATTGATGTAATCTGTAAACTTCAATATGCCGGTACTGCTTATTGACCTAAGTGCAAGATAGTTGTTCATTAATTTTGTCAATTCATTTTTCACGAGTCTAGTGATAAATTTATCGAATTTAGATCCAAGAGTCATCATATTCTTTTATGCTTTATATTACAATGGGTTGTGAATTTGTCTAAATGTTTTGTACCCTTCAACTAACTATGGTGTCAGTCATAGCGGAGTGGCTAGGTACTGACATCCAGCTAGAACGTCTGGGTTCAATCCCAATACAAATATTAGAATTTTTTCAATTCCTAATTTAACTGAGGCACCACCGTGTTTCGGGGCACCTAAAACTATTGGTCCCGGTTATGTAAGTACTCTTTAACACTAAAAATTGGAGTGAATTGGCTGCAGTATGATAGGTTATAACAACAAACGGCTTACGAAAAAGAAAAAAATGTAAGCTTTATTTTTTTTATTTCAGTTATGACAGCTATATCTATTTTCTACTTCTACATGTAAGGGGATTGAAGATAACACTGGAACCCTGAGAACAAACAGAGAAGACATAGCAGAGACATGGAGATCATATTGCAGGGACCTATATAAAGATGATCAACGCCAAGAGCTTGTTAGCCAAATCTCTGACGAGGTGGAAGAAGAACCTGATATACTTGAAAATGAAGTAAGACAGGCTATCAACAAGCTCAAATATAACAAAGCACCAGGTCCAGATATGATAACAGCAGAAATGCTTAAAGTCACAGAAGAAACCCGCGTAAAGTTACTTCATCTACTCTGTAACCAAATATGGCATTCCAAACAATGGCCTGAAGACTGGACAAAATCTACAATAACGACCATACATAAAAAAGGCAGCTTCCATAAATGCGACAATTATAGAACTATCTCTCTTATATCCCATGCCAGCAAGATAATGCTACATATAATCAATGAGAGACTGAAAACATTCCTTCAAAGAGAAATTCCACAAGAGCAAACTGGATTTACCAAAGGTAGAGGCACTCGATAACACCTGCTGAATATAAGACAGATAATCGAGAAATCTAGGGAATTCAACATCCCACTATACATCTGTTTTATAGATTACCGTAAAGCGTTCGACAGGGTCAAGTGGAGACACTTATGGCGAATACTAAAAGAAGTAGGCGTACCACAACATCTAATTACGCTTATAACCGAACTATATGAACACACTACTGGATCAGTTAAAGTACTTGACACACTTTCGAACGAATTTCATCCAGAACGGGGTGTCAGACAAGGATGTATACTATCTCCACAATTATTTAACATATATGGGGAGTATATTATGCGAAGAGCACTTGAAGGATGGGAAAAGGGCATCTCAATAAATGGTCATAAACTAAACAACCTACGTTTCGCAGATGACACAGCCCTTCTTGCAAACAGTCAAGCAGAGCTGATAGAACTTATACGACTGATCGAAAACGAAAGTCAAATATTTGGTCTGCAATTAAACATATCAAAGACAAAGATCATGATAGTGGATAGACTACACAACAATCATCCACACATAACCACAATTGACCGGTTCGAGGTTGTGAGCTCATACTTATATCTGGGATCATTAATCACAAACACAGGGTCATTACAAGAAGAGATTAAACGTAGATGTGATCTAGCAAAAGTTGCCACAGCAAAAATGACCAAAATATGGAAGGAATGTCAAATTTCAAGAGCCATAAAGATGAGGTTGATCAACTGCTTAATATTCCCAATACTGACCTACGGATGTGAATCTTGAACTCTGAGACAATCGGAGAGAAGAAAGATAGACGCCACTGAAATGTTCTGTTGGAGACGAATGTTACGAATTCCTTGGACCGACCGCAGAACAAATAATTCAATTTTAAGAGAGCTAAAAGTTAGCCAACGACTCTCTAGTAAAGTCCATCTCCAACAATTAAAATATTTTGGGCATGTTATGAGAGCAAACACAGAAAACATGGAAAGACTCATAATACAAGGAAAGGTAGAAGGCCGAAGATCACGAGGAAGATCCCCAACAAGATGGATAGATCAAATTACAAGAATATGCCAAAGACTTATGCATGAATTAAAAGAAATAACCAGAGACAGAGATCTCTGGAGACGGACAATACACGACATCACGTCGACCACTACACTCCCCCTGGGGGGTCAGGATTGAAGAGAGAGAGAGAGAGATGTAAGGGGATGACTTTAAGCCTATGATTTATACCAAATCGTTTGCCTATTCTTGATATGCCTAATACGAAAATTATCAGTATTTTTTAATAGCTGTATCAGGAGTATCAATCTGTAGGCTAGTACCATTTATAAGCCCCTTGACCTATCTGATTTTTCTGTTGATGTTAACTCTGTTTCAAAGGATTACAAATTACTCTAATTTTATAAATTACACGAAAAATAGAATGAAACTTTATGCGTAAGAATTATCCAGCTCCGTATACAATACTCCTGCCACGATGGTTATATTTCAATCACGATTGTAAGTGTCGTTGCAGCCGTGTTTGTAAAACTCCGAACTTCATTGATGCTTTGGTTACTTATACTATAAAAAACTTAATTTATCTCGCTGTGTGAATCGCATGCTCTAATAATAGATATGTATAAATAAACTTTGCGTTTCATTAGAGAAAGTGAAGGGACCATATTTTTTAAACTTTTTTCTTCTCTCTTTCTCTCTCTCATTCTCTCTCTCTCTCTCTCCCTCTCTGTGTGTCTTTTTGTACGGAGGTCGAAGAATTGGAATGCTAGACATAGACCTTGACATTAAAACGAGAGAGAGAGGGTAACATAAAAGGCTAGAGAGAGATAGAATATATAAAATCTCTCACCATAGACATATAGAAGTCTATGCTCCTCACATGCTTCTATGCCCACTTAACATCAATACGGGAATACGAAAATGTAGGTACTTAGCTTACAAAAGAAAAACGAAATTTTTTGAAAAGTGGCTATTTATTTCTCAACGTAGTCTTCTTTTAGCTCGATACACTTGACCCAGCCGTGCTCCAACTTTCTTAACATGTCTGAAAAATACGTTTTCTCGAGGTCTGCAAAGAAGGCCTCGATGGCAGCGATGACCTTCTCATTCGACCCCAATTTCTGTGCGGCGACCGACTTTAATTTAAATTTAAAAAAAGTCGCACGGGACCATATCTGGAGAATAACGTGGATGGCTCTGCAGCTCGTATTCTAATTGGACCAATTTGTACGTGACGATGGCAAATGTGTGAGCCTGTGCTTTGTCTTAGTGGAAGATCACTTTTTGGGGCCGTTTTTTTACATTTCAGCATCGAATCGGACCCATAATTTGGCATAGTAGAGATTTGTGACTGTTTTGGCTTTCTCCAGGTAGTTGATGTAGATCACATCCAGTGAATTTCAGAAAGCGTTGGCCATCACCTTTCCGGCTGATAGGACAGTGATCGCCTTTCTCTGGGTCCACTGTTTCGACTGTTCCTTGATCTCTGGTTTGTACCACTGGATCCATGTTTTGGTCGACGGTCACGAAACGATGCAGAAACTCGAATTGCACTCAAACAGTGTCAAACTGCTCTCACGGTTGCGCATGTTGTCCGTAGTAAGCAAACGCGGCACGCGGTACCCATGACGCCGCTACTATCTCAACCATCTAGCGCGCCTTAAATCGACGGTATGTCTATATTTTTTGTCTGCCTCTTATTCTCTTTCAGTCGTTGTTGACTGTACATTATCTTTCCATCTTTTTGGCGGCCTTCCAACGGGTCTTCTGGTATACGGCTTGTTGTTTTTACAGATGTTCGCTAACCTATCTGGTCCCATTCGGTTTACATGTTCGTTGCAGTTTTTTTTTCTTGTTTTTATCTACCTGTTAATATTTTGAATTTTGCATTGTTCGCGTATACGAGTACTTCGTTGGTTTTTCTGTCTCTTAATGATATGTCCGCTGTTGATCTTAATACTTTCATTTCGATATTGTTGATTTGTTGTTTCGTCTTTCTTGTATCGGTTCTTGTCTCCGCTGCATATGTTAGGATTGGTCTTACTGTTGTCTTGTATACTTTCATTTTGCTCTCTGTGATCAGATATTTGTTTTTCCATATGGTTTCTCGGAGGCAACCACTTACTCTTGCCGCTTTTGATGCTTGCCTTGTGGTCTGTGTTCTTATATCCCTGTCACTAGTGATCTCTACTCCTAAGTAATTGAATCTCATTACTTGTTCTACAATTTTGCCGTCTATTTCTAGTTTATATCTACGCGGCTCTTTACTGATCACTATACATTTAGTTTTTTTCTACTGATATTCTCATATTAAGTTTGTTTGCTATGATGTTGAAGGTGTGGATCTGCTTTTCTAGATCATCTTCGTTATCAGCAATTAGTACTGCATCATCGGCATAGCATAGTATCGTGATTTTATGCGCTCCCATGTGGTATCCGTGTCGTTTTCTTATATATATATATATATAATATATATTATATATATATATATATATATATATATATAGCGAGTGTTTGCAACTTACATATCCCAATCGCCATAATTTCTTATCGGCCCAGTCTCCTTCTTGAAGACCTCTATTTTCCATTTCTATATGAATATTGGATATCCATTTCTTTCTTGGCCTTCCCCTTTTATTTCTCTGTGTAGGTCTCCAGTTCCAAACCTTTCGTGGTATCCTTTCTTCGTTCATCCGTCTCAGGTGTCCATACCATTTTAATTGTTTTTCGGCTATCGTATCCATTATTGTGTTCTTTACTTTCATTCTCTCTCTTATGTTTTCATTTCTTATGTGGTCAAACAAAGTTAACCCGGAACATCTTCTCCAGTACATCATTTCCGTTGAGAGGAGTTTTTGTGACATATTCTTGTTAAAGACCCACACTTCTGACCCATACGTCAGCACCGGCTGAATCATAGCCTGATATATATTTTTCTTTGTTTTCTTAGTTAAAGTTTTATTCCACAGGATCGGATGTAGTGTTTTTATCATGTTTTTTCCTTTTCCTATTTTTCTTGTTATATCTTTGTCGTCTCTCCCGTCTTCGCTTAGCGTAACTCCGAGATATTCGTACTGATCAACGTTTTTAATTAATCCGCTTTCTGTTTCCATGTCTTGACCGATGCCTCCTATATTCATGTATTGTGTCTTTTCGGTATTAACCTCTAATCCCCATTTTTTGAATTCGTCTATTAGTTTGTTTATCATGTACGTCATATCTTGTAGGTCCTCGGCACGAACTACCTGGTCGTCTGCGAAGAGGATTGTGTATATAGGAGTGTCATTTACCCATATGCCCATTGGGCTGCATTTTCTCATCCAATATTTTAAAGCATTACCAAGATATATTTTAAATAGGGTTGGGGAGAGGCAAGAGCCCTGTTTGACACCCTTTGTTTGGGTGAAACCCTTGGAAATTTGGTTTCCAACCTTAATATAAGCTTGGTTATCTTGATATAGCTTTTTCACGGCATTTATATATACTGCATTTATACCTGCGTTTTCCAATGTTGTCCATAGTCTCTGCAGTGTTACGGAGTCAAACGCTTTACGGAGATCTATAAAAGTGGCATGAAGTTCTAGTCCTCTTGCTAATCTTTTTTCTATTAGATGTTTGAGAGTAAATACATTGTCGACACAAGATCTCCCTGGTCGGAATCCACTTTGTTCTTCGATCTCTGTGGCTTCTTTTTCTATTCTGGCTTTCAGAACTCTTTCATACAGTTTGGCAGTGGATGACGTAATGCTGATACCTCGGTAATTACTGCAGTCATTCCTGTTTCCCTTTTTGTAGATGGAGTTTATGTACGAGACTTTCCAATCTCTTGGGATACTTTCTCCTTGTAGGCACTTGTTAAACATTTTACAAAGCAGTCATGCAGTCAAAGCATGCTTTGTCGTTTTCTTACTTCGTGAATTATTTATTTCGTTACTTCGTGATTCATCACCATATTGAATAACAATGGGCTGTGCGAGTCTCCTTGGCGGATTCCTTTTAGTTCTATGCATTCTGTTTCTTCTGTTGGCATTATAACTGTGGTCTTGTTGTCCTTGTTAATTTCATTAATTGTCATTATTTGATGGTCTATTTATTCAGCTTGTAATGAATTTAAGATGCACCTGTCAAAAGCACTTTTTAAATATACAAAGCACATGTATGCTGGTTTTCCATATTCAAGACTTCTCTATTATTTGTCTGATAATAAAAATTGCGTCTATTGTGCTGCTGTTCTTCCGGAAGCCTTGTTGTTCACCTGACATGTTCGCTTTTTCCTCGATTTTATCTTTTATGAATCCCTGAAAATCACTTAAAAGGTAAGTAGCAAACCGATCAAGCACTACCATCGAATTCGAAAATCCCTCTTATCAGTATACTTTCGTCAATATAAGTCTTATCTGTATTAATGAAATTATAATTAGATTGAATTATACGCAACTAAATCAGCATTAAGAAATGAAGATTGACAAGTTACACCAGGAAATATATTTAAATTTTACCTGGAACCGGGCCCTTTATACTATTATCGGTTAACCTAGGATGTTTATAGTCGGTACTAATTGAAGTCAACCATTTACTGCTAAACAAACTTTAAACACGTACATTTTCGTGCCATATGAACAAAGCGTTAGGTACACTTTACTGGGCTGTTGTTTGTTTTTCCCTGTTGCATAGAGACTTAAAATTCGATATGGATATTCTAATAACAGAGTGCATGTTTAAATTTTTTATATATTTTTTAAATATGTATATTATAATGTAACTAATACGATATCGTTTTAATCTTATTTTTTTCAGGTACTGAGTTTCTGAAGCCTGTGATTTTAAATATTCCCCACTATGCCAACACTCTTCCAAGCCTAGGAATAAGTTTAAAAGCTACGGACTCGGAACAGGACATCCATACAGATTGGGATAATATTCTATTACCTAGTAACCATGCAGCAAACAGTGTCGCCGTCAAAGTTGATCATTTTTAATAAATTGCGCATTTCTCCATATAATTTTGAAAAGCTAGAATTAAGAGATCTCTTGCGGATATTAACAATTCGTATTTTTATCGTAATAAACGTTATTTCAATTTTATTGCTGTTGTTTACGGTATTGAATTTTACTTATCTTTACGATTGTGTTACTAAAGAAGGATGGTCGCGTTTGCTTATTATGTCATTCCGTTGCTCTTGAAACATAACCTAAAAATTTCCCAAATATCACTTTTATCGTCTTAAAACTACGTAAGTATTGTTTAAAAATTACTGTAATGATTGATATTTATAATGTTCATCTAACGCATTTGATATAAAATGGTACACAATTATTATTTGATGTATCCACAAACATCTTCTAGGTCCTTGTAAATGTTCTGTTTTCCTTTGAGTAGCTTCATTTTTGGCTTTCGATAGTTACAATCAAATATGGTTGACGTTGAACTTTTTAAACAGTTCTTTCTAAATTGTGGCTTGTCCTCTGGTCCCAAGATCTTCAATTATTGTGTGTCGTTGTAAGCTAACCAAGAGACCTAGCAAAATCGGTAATATAAAAAAGGAAGAATCAAGTGTGTACCACTAAAGCTAGTTATTACTTTGTTTTCACTCGAAATCTATCTAAATTGTTGATTTGATTTAGCCCAACTGGACAAATACGTGTAAAACAACACTATTTTTTAATACATATGTTGCTCAAACATATTTTAATGTTCTTAATATTTTTTACTAAAATTTTAGTTAAGTATTGTAACGAATCTCAAAAATTATGACTGATTAGTAGTTTCTATATGAGAATGTTTGTATGGATTCAACAATATAATGTTTATATAGGATTTTGTGATTGTTTCTAATGTAGATTTTATTAATTTTGTTAGATATTGGACTATAGGAAGTTTAGGATCCATCAGGACATTATTGTTACTTGTCATTTGCATTGATAAATAATTAGGCCCCTTTTATTGATAATACATGATTGTTTCAGTGCAATTTGTATAAAATTTATCGTTTTTAGTGATTGTTTTATTTTTAAACATTTTAAACATCTTGTATAAACAAGGTTCTTGTTACCTTGATTTTTGCATATTGTATAACCTTAATCTTATTGTTAAGCTAAGCCCATTTTATAGTATTTACAAAATAAATGATTATTTTAATATATTTTTTCTCCAAACTGACCCTCCTTGGCTTTCCAGAAGAGAAATTATTAGTAAAACTAGAGTATGTTTCAACTGTAGTGGCGGAAATTTCTAGGAACAGTAAAGCCTCACCAAACAAAGCAGTGGCGTTCCAACAAATACTTATGATTTAAATCAAATTGTTAAGGTAGGTACACACAATTTATTAAACAATGATATTAGATTATATTTTTGACAATATTGTACTACATTTTAGTACATAGTATTATAGTATATAACATACAAATATTGTCTGTATGTGTAACCATAGACTCGTATTATAGATTACAGTATAAATATTAGTTACAAAGATTGTTTTAACTTTAAAAGCTTTATTATTTATATTATTACTCACTTAAACGTCACAAAGTTAAATAGAAGAATATACGAAATGATTGTAATAAAATAAAAAAATAATACATACATACAGGACAGTTTGGAAAACTTATATTTACATAGGTATAAAAAAAATACATCGTAATGTTAAATTATATTATTCACTTTCATAATCAGATGCACTCAAATGCACTGTTGTCGTCACTAAAATCATTAAATCAATACTTAATTCTTCAGTAATTACATCTATGCGACGTTCACTTGAGAAGAAACATGTCCACATTCTTGTAGCACTTTGTCAAATTGATATTGAATATGATCTTGTTTGTGTCGTTTGATGATTTCATACAATTGCGTTTTTAACATTGACATTACAAATGGTAATTTTTTTTTCTGTCAACAAAGATATATCCATTTTTTAGAATTACTGGTTGGTGCTTTATTAATTTGTACATTATGATCTGACGCATTATCACAAACAACAACAGATCCAACAGGCAAATTGGGGATTAACTGTTCTTTCATCCATTTTTCATAATTTTCTGAATTCATATCACCATGATAATCTCCTGTCTTAGCTTCTGACTTAAAAAAATCAAAAGGGCATTCTGTATGAAACCCATCTCCCCACCACCATGTACGATAACCAACCTACTTCCTTTTGAACAATCCTTTGCCACTGTCACCTGTCCAGTTATTTGGAGTAGTGTGGCCTGCATGTACATCGGTTGCATCAACATATACAATTGACATACCTTCGCTTCTGTAATATTTAATTTTGTCCAAATATTTAATGCGTAGAGCTCTAATATATCATTCCTTTCAATTAATAAATGTCGATTATCTTTCGTTTTCTTCCATTTAAATCCTAAATCTTTCACAATTCTGTAGAGAGAACTCACACTTCCAGTCCAGTCGTACACCTCTTCAAGCCTTTTCTGCAAAAGCTTGATACACGACAAAGTTCAGTCTTATGAAAACGATTAATGGTATTTCTAATGAACTGTTTGTCATACTCCCTCAGGTCTGTGACAATTGCTTTCATTTTAGCAAGTGTTGTAGCTGGAAATTTTAGTATATCATTTGACTCTGCGTTTGTTAACATACTCGCTTGTTGAATGACCCTTTCTCCTGGTACGATTATCTTCAGGAATAATAAATACATTGTAAACTATTCCTTTGGATTCTGGTGTCAATCTGATCTGTTTACTCGTACTACACTTCTCCATTCTACAAAATAGTTCTAATACGGTAGCACCTTTATTGTTGAGACTCGACAACATAATGAGACTAAATTACGAACTCGTATGAAATCCAGTGACTAGAAATTCTCGGAAATAATTCTTATCAGTTCTTTTTATGTTCTTAACGAGTCGTTAATAATGACTTTATAATTACGGTTTTAAAGTTACTGATACTAAATTAGAAATTAACTTTTACCAAACTTTATATAGTATCAATTATTAAAGATGTTATTATAACAAACAAAACATTATTTGGCATCTATAAAACACTCTATGTACAATCAAACGCCATTTATTATTTAAGTGAGTAATAATTTTGTAATTAGTGCGATTTCAAATAATTTAATTTGTTTAATATTGCAACGCCACTGCATGGGTCTGATCATAGATATTCTATTGTCTGCGCGATTAACTATTTCGTGGAAGGGCTCACCACTCGATTTGAAATAAGCTGTATCCAATGTGAATTTGAAATTCAAGATACTTAAGGTAACGTCAACATTTTTTTCTTCTACTTATAGATACCTCTCTAGTTTTATTTTTGTTACTAGAAGATTTGTTAGAATAACTAGGACCTAATATAAAATTTAAATATTTTCCAAACTTTAGACATCTGCTTTTTAGAAGCAGTAATCCCGAAATTATTTCGTGTACTCTACACTAAATGGGGAGCAAGCAAAATATACTCAAAATCTTCGTAGTTTTCTCATCTATTCCATTAGTTTTTGTAAAAAAAATAAGTAATTTGTAGAACAAACATCTGCTAGATACCCTAGATTTTTTTTCAAAATTCAACTATCGAGCATATTGGCCCCAATTTACACCCGAGTCAACGAATCATATATACATGTCCTTATACGAAAATGCACCGTTTGGCTGGAGAATGGAAAAAACTGAAAATTTTTCAATACGATCTTTCCATTTTTTTGCCAAACTGTGGACAGAGGATAGAAAAGCTGGACCAAGTGCATTTATAAAAAAAAACGATGATCTAGGCGGTACCGTGGATTCTTTCAAAATTCAATAATCGGGTATATTGGCGTCAATTTTGGTCCGAGAGTCAAACCGTTGCACTTTTCTTACATAAAATTGACCGCTTGTTTTTTATCCATGCTCAGAATTTTTCTTCATCTAAAGGTCGATTCAGACACATCAGTCCCGTTACAGTCTCGGCGCCGAACCGGTCCTGTTTGGTCACAGAACTATCAACTATCTGACAGCTGGCAAACTGTTCGTCGCCTGATGAATGTGAATGCCCGCGCCATATTTCTATTAAAGAATATTTTGTATGACGGATTGTTCGGTTCGGCGCCAGGACTGTGACGAGGCGTGACTGATGTGTCTGAATCGACCTTAACGGTTCGTCAGAAAAAATTCCGGTTGGATGTCTACGTGTCGTGAAAATAAAAACTTCGTTCTAAATTTAATTTATTTGGATTAAGCCTGTATTAAAAAAATTATAATTTTTTGTTTAATCTTGATCATTTCAAAATCGGTTTCGGATATATTTTCAATAATTTGCAATGAATTTAGGATAGACACATTTTGTGGTAACATTATCTTCCGCGATGTTGCCTAGTTTACATTTTTATCCGGTATGCATTTTAGGCGTTGTTAACAAATTAATTTTATTGATATAAATAATTTATTGATCATAACACTAGTTTATATTTATTGGTAGCATAATTGTCGGATAATTACCTTTTGTCAATAAATTAATAAATCAAATTATTAAGGCATAATGCACGCAGTACGCTATTAACAGGAAAAAAATGTACTTCTGGCAACAGTGCGGTTAGAAATACATCGCAAAACTTTGTCTATCTGCGAACAGGTGGCGCGGGTATTATATATGAGAATTTAATTAAATATTTTAATATAATATTAAAACTTGACATCGAAAATCGAAAGTTATATCTTCTCGAGGATCTTCTCGCATTTCTAATTAAAATAAAATCAAATTGGCGTAATGTAGAAAGAATACCATTAATTTTCGGTGTTTTTTGATAAATAAATGGTTAACTTTAACGAAAGTACAAGCTGAAGATAGCCGCAAATGTCAACCATGGAACAAAATAAATATGCTTCAAATCAGAGATATGTAAGAGAGCTCTCTTACATATCACTGCTTCAAATATAAAGAGACAAAACTTTTAAAAAGTACATTTTGAATGTATTATTTTATGAATTTTACAATTTTTAATTTATATAAAACAATAACGAGTCAATATTGGTCTCTTTCGAGATTCCAAACATGGTGGTTTGATAATTGCCAAATCTATCCGCCAATCTATCAAAGGACAATTGCCAAAAAAAAATGTAATCAACATCTACGTGTCTAAAGATTTCTCTCTTTATATTTGAAGCATACAACATATTATACATTATTTATATAAAAACATCCCAACACTTCCAAATATTTTTCCATGGTTGACATTTTGCGGCTATATTCAGCTTTCACTTTCATTAAAGTTGTCCTAAATAAACAATGAATTAAAACATGATTATGTGTAGGTTCAGTATATTTGTTGCTCTCATGGACGTGGTCTTAATCACAGACCACTGATAAGTAATAACTTATTCCGTGATTCTACATCGACTACACGAGTACACGACCAAGGGGTTAAGAACCATGTGGTTTGAAGCGCCATCTATTTACAATTATGTATATTTCATATATTGTCTGATAGATGGCGCAAAGAATACAAATTAAAGTATCCTTTGGAATTATTTAAAAGGAAAAATGAGAAATAAAAGAGATAAATATAAATTAATTCATTTTATTTGTTGTTTGACACATAAAATTCAGAAATATATATTTAAGAAATAATTTGTGTATATTAATAATAGCTATGAACATATGTAACACACACAAACTTATCTATAGCTTATAAAGTACAGTCAACAGCATTCTTACATATTTTGAGATCACAAAATATATAATTCAATAACAAATTCAACAATCTCGATAAAATCCGATCGAAGTATGCCTGTCTGCACTAAGATATTGCTACAAAGTCAAAAAATGGCAGTTCGAAATTTTATTATACCTAAATGTTAGGAACAATTTTGAATTTTGTCTAAAAATAGTAAAAAACTTCACACACAGACATACCGCCAACAAATTTTTGTCTTTTTGTACAATTTCCAGTTTTCAATGAGCTGCCATTTGACAAAAACTATAGAAATTTAAAATACTGAGATGAACATTCAAAAATCAAGAGTATCACATCATTTTCAACAAAATAAAATATAAAAATATCTGTTATAAAATTAAATTAAAATCATTAACAAAAATAATCATGCATAAAATGGTGAACAAGCTAAAATTTTCGTATATTATGTAGAATATACAGGGAGTTTATCAACCATTGTCAAAAATTAAATAAACTAAATA